TCAGCAGGAGCCCTGAACTAATAGCCTCCTGACTCTACTGGCAGGCACTGATGGCAATCAATTTTAATGGAGAGGGCCCAATGTTTTAAAGTTATAAATGTGATTGTAACTAACCTGCTAACCTTCAGGCCAGACAAACAGACCATCAGTTTAAAACTAATTGTTTGAAGAAGGTTGTAAATAAATACTGGTTACTTCTAATGGGACCTAACTGTTTTAAACTTTGTTTGTTGGACCCTGGTGTGCTTATTTTTGTTGGCTCACAACAATAAATTGGAAAAAAATATTATGTTGCATTTTTAAAATAAAGCAGCAAAATCCAGTGCCACACAGCTAACAATTTGTTTATTCTAGTTAATATTTTTCAAGAAATACCAATAATGTTAAGAGTAAGGATTATTATTGCATATCCTGTTGTTATAGTATTATAAGAGAACTGAAGTTACTCATGAAATAATCTTGGCCAATAACATCAGGAGTAGCTTATAATAAATCAAATGCATTTCAGTGAGCACACTTAAATTTTTATCAAGGAGAAGGAAAGTATTGGTAGATCTATCTCCCTAGAGTAGTATTTTTAAAAAATCTTTGTCTGCAGAGCACTAAGCTTTAGCTTACTGGTTTTACTTGTGAGCTGAGAATTTGAAAAGAAGTATATTTCTTTAACCCTGATAAGCTTAATTTAGAAACTCTTGTAGATTATTACTGCAAATTACTGCAAATAATGTAAGAGTCAGTAAAAGTAGTGATGCTACATAACAAAACTATTTTTATGGTTGCTTCTTTTAGTTTAAGTTGTGACAATGACAACTGAAGTTGGCTCAGAGACTGAAGTAAAGAAAGATTCTGAGCAGCTGGGACCAGACAAAGCCAAGGACAAGCCTGAAGAAGCATCAGAGACTCCAGAAAGTCAAAAGTCCAGGGAAACATCCTCTGAAGGAGCTCAAGATTCTTCCTCTGTCCCAGCACCAACTAGCCAAAGTAGTCCAAGTAGCCAGAAGAAGGAAAAAGGTTCACCTGAAAGCAAGGGTATTTCTCGTTTCCTTCCCCCCTGGCTTAAGAAACAAAAATCATACACCTTGGCAGAGCCCAAAGATGAGACCAAGAAAAGGACCACAGGGGAAGAACAAGTAGTTGAAGAAAGTGAATGCCAGGCAGCAGAGGGGGTGGCTCAGCCTAAAAAGAGCTTAGAAGAAGCAGCGGCTGAAAATCAGCATAATGCTAAAGCAGACGACAAAGAAGAAAAACACTCTGTTAGTAGTGCTGAAACACAGGTACATGTGGGAAGGCTAATGGATGCTTTGGAGTAATTTTAATGAGACCTGATTCATGATTTATGCAATTCATGTAAGCCTTTGTTAGAATCGTATCAGGGGAAAAAATGACAGCTACTATCTGGCCTTTTATGCCGTTGGGTTGATACAGTTACGAGTAGCATAGCTGGTTTTAAAGGTTCCTGCTCTGTGGCAGATCATTTTTTACTCCAGTTCTAGATGTCAAATTTTAGTGTAACCTGACACTTTGGCATAGTTCAAAGGAACATTGAACTGTATCATTGTGGTAGAAATGAGCAAGGATAAGAGGAGAAGCTTCTTAAGTCAGCTTTGTCTCTGAAGCCATTAGATTGCACGAATACCTCCTTAGTGACTTAACCACAACAAATAACACATGGATTATCTCTGAGTCCTTATGATCTCAGTTTTTGTTATCCTTTACCTAGAAACCATGCTTGTGGTCCCTGTCCTTACTGATTCATTCTGGGAGGTTGGTGCTGAGTTCCAAGCCAAACGCCACCTTCTGCAGTGCTCCAGAGTCTTGCTTTTTGAAAAGTTGCATGTCAGTTCTTAACACTCAAACCTCACATTCTAGGGTGGCGAAGATGATTAAGGGCATAGCGAATCTTTCATATGAGGAGGGGCTGAGAGTGCTGGTACTGTTCAGCCTGGAGAAGAGAAGGGTCAAGGGGAATCTTATCAATGCGTATGAATACGTGAAGGGAGAGAATGAAAAGGAGCCAGACTCTTCTCAGTTGTATGCAGTTAAATGACAAAAGGCAATGGGCACAAACTAAAAACACGAAATTCCATCTCAAATTGCAAAAAAAATCTTTTTTACTGTGATGGCGGGTCAAACACTGAAACAGGTTGCCCGGAGAGGTTGTGGAGTCTCCATCTGTGAAGATATTCAAAACCCAACTGGATACAGTCCTGGGCAAACTGTTCTAGGTGGCCCTAGAGGGGCCCTAAGGGCATTGGACTAGATGATCTCAAGAGGTCCCTTCCAACCTCAACCATTCTGTGATTTTGTATCACTTGACTTTAATAAACACCGTTTCTTTAAGTTTTATATAATTCCTGGAGCTTCTTGTTAAATTTGTTTCTGTTAGGAAAAAAAGCCAATAAAACATTAAAAAAAATATCTCAGTTCAAGGAAAAAAAAAAAAAAAGGCACTTTCTGTGGTTTGAGAGCAAGAATATCTGATCCCCAAAGGAAGACCTTAATTGCTTATGCTGGTTATTGTGCTCCCAGTATGTGCATAACTTTAATGAAAGCTTCATGTCTTATTTATTAGTAGCTTATAAAAGAAATGAAAAAGTTTAAAATATCCACCTTTCTGAGTTTCAGTCATTGTTTAAATGTATTTTATATAGCCTGCCAAAGAAGATGGTAAAGAAAGTGAAGTAGAGAAAGTTACAGAGGAAAAGGAAGAAAAACAAGAAGAAAAAGAAAAAAGGGAGACAAAAGAAGTGCAGACAGCTGAAATTAAAACAGAAAACATTCCTCAGAAGTCTCCCAAGAAAATTAAAACTGTGCAGTGTAAAGTGATGCTTCTGGATGGCACGGAATACAGCTGTGACCTAGAGGTAAGGCATCAAGTCTTTATATAAATAGATCTTTTTCTATAGCGAAAAACAAAATTTGCTTTCATTGCACTGAGAGTTTAACAAATACATTTGTGTATATCCAGTGAGCTCATTACAATGCTACATTCACATTGCTATTATTAGGTGCCAGTTAACGTTCCATTTTAAAACTCCACCTTTAAGACCTTATCAGTTTATCCTTAAAAATGTACTCTGAGGTACACTAGCAAATAAGAGAAAACACAATATACAAATCCTTTCAGTGGTGATTGTTTGATAGCTCAAACTTGATTTTTTTGCAAAAGATTAAGATTTTCCTGAAGGTAGTGTCACAGTACTAAAAAGGTTGTCTTGAGTTCATTATTTTTTTTTTTAAGTTATCTTAGCTGGAGAACTAAAATTTTAAAAAAGTATGCTTCAAAGAAAAATTCTGTAACAGGTATAAAATACATATTTGTATTTCAAGTTATGTTCTAGTTCCAAATTTTCATGGACGCATGGATTGCTTGTTTACAACTGTAAATCACTGGGTTAGATATTGTGTATATTTAGCTGTTCAGTCTGACTTAACATCACTAACAGAAATAGGGATTGTGAGCTAAATGGAAAATAACTTCTTTGGTTTTATGGCTTTAATATCCTTTGAATATATATATATATATATACACACACACTCATTCAGTCTGACCATAGTGTCCAAATTCTAAGTCAAATAGTAGTCGTTTAATATTTTAGATCAAGATTAAATTATGAAACATGTAATTACATGAAAGGAGGAAAAAAGTTGCATTCCAAATCTTATTTCAGTGAAATAACCTTTGTTTTGATTTATTATGAGAGTTTTTATGAGTAAGGTAGTAAGTAGATCTTATCAGCAGATTACTTCAGGCTAATACTGTGTCCCAAAAGATGCCAGTCACTTCAGTACAAAGGTGTGAGAGGTTCTTCTCTGTTAGAAAGTTCAATTGTAATCACTTTTGCCAGTAGAAGATGCAGCACCAACTGTTATAAACTGCATGACTTCTTCAGGCACGCTTTCTGAAGGGCTGGGAATTGTTTTAACTAGAAACTCCTTATTTCATGCTGGATTGATGGATACCCCAGAAATAAGCTCATTTATTTAATACTAGGATATAGTGCCCCCTTGGAAAGAAGACAGTGTTCCTTGTAGGACAGTTTATATTTGGAAACCATACTTCCAGTCAGTTGTAAGACACATTAAAATTTGCTTAGTTCTATTTTTGTAATTTTGATAAACTTTGCAAGCACTTGAAAACCATGTTCATAGTAACTGAAGACTTTAGCTTTGTATCTGAAAGGGTGTGTAGGTGATATTTTCAAAAGTTCTTCCAGCTAGTAGCACCAAAGGCAGATTCCAATAATGAGGCTTGGTTCCCTTGCACAGCTGCATCCCAATCCTAAAAACCCCTCTGCTCTTCAGCAGTGTCTTTCGCAGGACAGGAGCTCTAAGCTGTTCTTGGGTTCAATTATTTGTAAACTTCTGGGAAAAGGAGGAATCCAGTGAATTAAACAGCTGGTGAAGTCTGTTTGGCTTTCTGATGCTTCATTTCTACTTGTTGCTTCCAGTCAGTCACTTCTCTTTATGAAATTTGTCTTATTGCTCTTTGTCCTAGTCATACAAGATGGCTGTAAGGTAATGAGGAGTTTCTATGGCCATATAAGCTCCTAGTTTAGAATATCGTAGTTTTCATTTATGGGTTCAGTAAGCTAAAGATGTGACCAAGCAACATGATATGATTCAGTGTGTTCTGCAAAATGGTACCTAATACGACACCACAGCAAGCAGACTTTTAAGTGAGTATTAGAACCACAATGCGTTGGTAGTTACGTGGAGAATTAATATTTGAAGGTGATATGTTTCCTCACTGAAGTCAACTCCTCCTTTACATTTCTGTCTTATGCTTTGCACTAGAGTACCCATTTGTTTGGAATAGGGGAAAAATGGTTGTTCTGGACTATGCCGGTGAACATAGTTGTCACATTTTGCATGATGTTTTAACTAACTGATTAGCTGTGGTGCTTAGACTGAATATTGGAGTTATGAACAGTGGTTAAAATTTGCATCTTTTCTAAAACCAGACATCTAGATATATCTTTCAGATTGATCTAAGGACAAAACAGTAGCGATGTTGTGGCATTTTCTAGACCCAGCTGATTCCTTGAAAATATTCCTATTTTTGTCTAATGTAAATTGTTTAATTTTTAACGTAGTACACGTTACAAGTCCTGCGGTAGTGCAGGCTTCTGCTTGAAGCCTTTTGTCTTCTCTTGTGCCATTTCATTTTCCAGTGTCCGTCAGTCAGTCCCTACACTGTTTGACTGTGGATTTCATTAGGCTTCCTAGTAGTCTAATTGCTTATTGTGTACAAGTGCTTTTGTGTACTGTAATGGGATACTGGCTGGACACTGCTCACCTGTCCTTCGAGATCTTGCGAAACTAATAGTTACAGAAGACTAAAAAAAAGCTACTTGTTTTTAAGACTTCTAGAAGTTTCATCACAACTTAAGTCTTACTTCATGCATTAGTACAGCTTTCTTCAAACCTATTCTCTAATAGAACTCTTCCTGTCAGCTAAGAAATTCTTATTTGTTGTTTATCTATGAAATACTGCTTGGAAATGTTTTGCTGTGGTTTGCTGGAATTTAACATTTGTGTTTTATAGTTGTTAGTAATACAAGCTTTCTGAAGCCTCCATTTGTTGAAGAATTCCTATTCTTGATGTTAAAACTGAACAATTTCAGTGTATGTGTCTTAAAGTACAATATTTTAGCCCTACAGGGATCTCTCCTTGACAGTGTCAATTGTAGACCGCTTCACCGTAAATTAAGTCAACTGTAAAAAGCAATAGTGAAGCCTTTGTTAATGTTATTTAAGTCTATTTTTTATGCTGTGTTTGCAGAAGAAAAAATGTTATCAGAATAAACAAAACACGAACATGAAAAATATACTACAGAATAATTGCTTTCCAGAACATGTTGCTTATGGCTGTGCATTCTTATGGTCTAAAGTTGCAGGAATTTTCTCACCTAAAAGTTCTTGAGAAGTATTTTTATTTATATATTCTTATCAATATATATGGAGGAATATCTATAGAAATTATATATAAAACAAAAATTGATCTAGATTGTGTAGTAACCCTGGAGTTCTGTTTTGATTTTTAGCATAAATCAGGATGTTTATATCTGAACAGTATTTCTGCATTAATTGAAGGCTATATGAATTCTATCTTCCTGGGCTTTTTCCCCACCCAAAAATGAGACTTAAATGAAGTTGTGGCTTACCACAGATTTAAAAAGATACCATTTTGCATTTACAACTGAAAAATTCTATTCTGCGGTATTTTAAGTTTATCATGATTCAGTTAAGTTGTTTGTTAAGAAATATGTTTTCTGATTATTTGTAATAAATAAGAGTCTGCTGTAAGAACAGAAGCAAAAATTAACTAAGGAGGGGGACAAAGTGGAATAGAAACAATCTGTTTTATGTGTTCATTTGAATCATTTATAGGACATGAGCAGTGCTGACGGCAATTTTATAAATGAATTCATTTTCTTAAATACATGTAGAGCGTTTTATGCTCTACTACTGTACCAAAATATTAAAAATCTCAGAAAGCTGCTTCAACTGATAACTGAAATTTCAGTTTGTGCTCTCTGCAGTGAATCCTAGTAGGTCAATTTCTGATACTGATCTTTTCTTTAGTCTTCCTTTAATATTTAGTGTTTGGGTAAATGTTGGTTTATTTCTGCTTTACAAAGTAACAGAAATGATACAAGATTTAAAAAGCAAATAAACAAAAACTCTGCAGTCTTAAGCACAAAGTGCAAAACCCAGTTTACCTTGGCTGACTTTCTAGTAAATCAGGTTTTAGTTTGGAGCAATTTCCATAGTTGAGACATTCCTGATGCCTCTTCCAGTTTTTACTATGCACTATGGAGCAGCTTCATTATATTTTATTTATATTAGAGACACTTTAAATATAAATACTTGCTAATAAGGAAGTAAAACTGAAAAATACCTTGTTTTCATTAGTGTTATTTTACAGACAGCTTTTGTTAGAATCCTGTCTTTTTCTAATTGCCATCTTAAACCTTCATGATAAATCAGTAATAAAATCTGAGCTAATACACTATTTCTTGGGGTCTTTTCTGTTTGAGTTACAATCACATTCCTTTTTTCTTGTAGAACTGCATCAATTTGTATTCACATAACTTAAAAGGAGTGTGAAAGACAACAAAATATGACCCAGCAACTTATTGTCTGTTAAATTTTGTCGTTGTTCATTCTTATTGCCTGTCTTTTATATAAGACAATAGCTGGGAAAGGGCGTAAAAGGAGATAAAGCCATGATGTAGTAGTTTCGGTGTCAGCATGCAGATCAATGCTGTAGTTAGTGTAAGCTGATAGGATTCTCAGTAGTAACTAAATACTGAAACTTTTGTGTCCACTTAGTAGATAAAATACTATACAATTAATTTGTAACAGTGGTGTAATGATAATGTAAGAAGATTTGGATATTATATACCTTAGATTCACTAGAATCTTAATAGATAATCTTGAAGTGGATAGTAATGCCTTGTTTCTTTAAAAAAAAAAAAAAAAAAGTACTGATGCACTATTCTTAGCCCATAAGCTGTTTTAGTCAGAAAAACTTTACTTTTCCAGCTTGATCGTCATCTTATCAGTAAATAGTTAATGGCAAAAACCTGAAGATGCAATTTGGAAATTAATGGAAAAAGGGAGGGTCAGGTTAGGGAACATTTAAATTAGAAATACAAGTCCCATGGGACCTTATGGAATGCACCCATAAGTGCAGAGTGAGCTGGCTGGTGTTACTGCAAGGCCATTCTTGATCATCTTTGAAAGGTCCCAGCAGTCAGGGGAGGTTCCTGAGATATGGGCAGGGGGGCAAATGTCATTCCTATTTTCAAGAAGGAAGATGTGGGAAATGTCAGGCTGAGCAGCCTCACCTCAATCC